GCTAAAAGGGCCCAACGGCTCTATAACGTTCAACATTTAAAAATAAAATAAATTAAATTAAATTAAATTGACCGTTGAACCGGACCGGAACCGGTTCTTACCGAACCGGATCAACCGGATCAAAATTCGGGTTCCGTTTCATTACCGGTTCCGGTACCTATAAGACCGGTTCCTTACCGGTTCAACCGGTACCGGACTTACCGGTACGGGAACCGGACCGGACCGGACAAAAATCGGTCAGTTTGCCAGCCTTAGCAGGAATTGAAACAAAACAAATTTTAAGGTACTCTCGGCCGTTCATTATTGTTCCCAAATTACTAGTAATTAAAATTGATGAAACTTAATTAGTATATTTTGGCCCTTTCCTCTCGATTTTACCTAATATAATTATTTTACTATGTTGACAAATTAATTAGGTAAATAATTGTTTTAATACAGAGATTTACATGCGTGTTCATGATAGAAAATTCATAATTTCCTTCTTTTTCAATTTCAGTAAGTGAGATGTCTACAAATTGGTTAGTAGCTCAAGGAACTTGGTGAGTAGTTTTTCTCTGTGGATTAATTCATATATGTCTATCTAATTGCATTTCCAAATTATAATCTGAATTGGGTTTATCGAATTTGATTGCAACTGTATTTTATTTTGTATTTGTTTCGTCCCTATTTATTTCTGGGATTACTTGAGACCGAGCTGAAATATAGAAAAAATGGATGGATTCCTTCTAAATTTGCAATGGTGCAACGGGAACTTTTGAATCACGGGTCCATCTCCGTTTGACTCACGTACTTAGCTTAGGTTATATCTCAATGCCAGATTGAATGTCATGCTGCAGTTTGGAGATTGAAAAAGGGAACACCAAATGGTTTATGGTTTATGGTTTATTATTACATTTTTTTAATCTTACAATAGTTCAATTGTATTAATAGTGAATAGAAGGAAATGTTAGTAAGTAGTTCAATTGTAGCACAGTTTGATCTTCTGTGGATGGAAACTCTAAATAAAGATGAGTTCCTGGTTTCTAGCTCGTCCATTACATAATTTCAAGGGAACTAATGATCCTCATTGTTTATATTCTGTGAGTTGCTTGGTGGGTCTTTTCTGGAAATGGCTTAATTCTAGAAGCAATTACCGTGCACTAACATCTCTGTTTTGGGCGTTTTGGCAATTGTTGGGACATGTATAATTATTATTCAGAGTGACGCTTTGGCCCTTTTGAGATATCGTGATGCTGGAAGATAAAGGTTGGGAAGATCCTCGTTCCGTTAATAGCCCTAAGAGGATTTTGAGTTTTTCCAAGAATAGGAAGGCTACTGTGTTCTTTCCAGACCCAGACGACAGAGATTCAAGATTTGGTGTTTCTGGAGATCAAGGACCCAAGACTTCTGAAGTTTATGGATTTGTTGGCTCCATTACTATTGTTGTTGCTACAGGTCTAGCCATCCTCATCTTTAAGAAGCTTGGTTTGTTACTTAGAACAAATCCCTATGTTTGAATATTCAGTGTTTTCTTCTGATATTATAGTTTTGCAGTACAGTTGAATTGTTAGTACTATTATGTGATGCAATTATCTTTCTTGGAAAATGGTAATGCTCATCATGGCACGAAAGTTACTTATTCTTATCTTTTGGTTCGAATCCTTTGCCTTCCTGGAAATGCTTGTGCCCAAGCATCACCAGTACGGCAGTATCGGGATATAGGGCAGAGTATGTTAGATTGATTTTTCTTGGGAGTTGAAATGACAAGGCTGTTGGAATCTCTGGATATATTACTCTGCAAATATTGAAAACAGATGCAAATACTAATTTTTGTTTTGTCTGCAAGATGTTGTCTGTTGTAAAGTATTGAGCTCTCATATTTTGTATGTTCTGCTTTGCTTTAACCTAATTCCACTGGTATTCCAGTGGTCACAACATTCATTTGATATCATGCATACGGAAGTCTGATTGATTTCTATTATTTTTGATGAGCAGTTCTTTTTCTGGTGTGGGCATATCTTCTCGAACATTGGTTGCATTCTTTGGGTATTGTTTACTATCCAAGCAGGTAAGCAAGATGTACTTGCAGTCTTGTGTCATCTTTACATCTTGTCTCTAAAAAGATCCCTTTTTAAATTAGGAGATATTATGAATTTCATGGTATCATAGTTTCAAATTTACTTGGCTGGTTTGTCTGACACCAGAGCCAGAAGCTGGCTAGTGTATTCCAGCTAATTAGGTTGAGCTTAGTTTATTCCAATTTCTGGATCCATAATGACATTTGGTTGTTTTGAAAAAAACATCTTCAAAAGATAATGCACAAAATTATAATTGATAAGCGCTTTAGTTGCATTTCAGAAATTGATATATATTGGTCCTTCATTTCAGAAATTACAAGTGCATGAAAGCAACTTAAAGCTATGTTGCTCGGACTCTTCATAATTGTCATCGGGTGCTTGTCGGACCCTTCAACATTTTTGAGAGTCCGACATTGGTGCGGCAACATTTTTGAAGAGTCCGAGCAACTTAGACTTAAAGCATTTGCAGAATGCTCGAGATGAAAAGAATTTTCTTGGCAGAACTTAGCTGGTCGCTTACTAATTGTCACAAGATATATTTAACATCCTGTTAAATTGTTCTTCGTTTAATCAGGTACTGGGCATTAGCTGCGCCCGCTTATGCGATGATGACCATAGCACTAGCTGTAGGATTTTACATTGTTCTCAACTTCTTGGCTACCCCTCCTCCAACTTCTTTCAGCATGATATATGGTAATTGTTACTTGATTTTCTGGCAATGACAGTAGAAAGGATTTTCCTAGCGTTCCTATCTTCACTCTTGATGCATGCAATACCCAAATTTAACATTGTTTGTTGAGAACATATTGTGAGTAATTGTTTTTACATAATCATTGGATTGAGCTCGTAATGTTTTCTTTCTATCTATTCTGCAGATGAATTCACAAGAGAACCTTTGCGCAACGTGCCTTCAACAGACAATGATGAGCAACCTATAGAGCCTATATCTGATATTCGGATTGATCAAATAAATGACCTTATGTTCAATCCAAGATGAGAAATAATTTTACTGTGCAGTTATTTTGCTTGGGTAGATTGTATCAGTTTCATTTATCAGTGTATCTCTTTGATTCACCCAATTCAGGTACTTGACATTAAATGTAATTTAGATGTGGCTTTTTTCACAATCGTTCATTTGCTTTCCTCTGTGTAGTACCGAAAAACTAATATACTGGTTAGCAAGGGTATATTACTGTTAGAGAAAAAGATCAAATTAGCAAGTTCATAATGGTTCTAGTATTTGAGTGTTTCTCTTTGCTCATTGGTTTTAGAATAAGTACGCCATATTTCTACATCATGAAGTAATATTTTCTTTATCCAAGTCCATAAGCGGTAAAAGGGATACAAAAATGGAGCAGACTGAATGTGGTATTAACTCAGTTCACAAATACATAATAAAGCAACAATTCATCCAAACCAAATACCATGACAATACAATCAAAGAATTTAGGATGTTAAAATGTTCGAACAAGCAGCGATATTGATTCACCCAAGTCGTGAATTTGTTGTACCGTAGAAGAAAGGCGTCTCTTAAAAGTGCAATTTATCTCATCGTACCCACGCTACAGAATCAATCTCATCTCTTGCTTTCTTGTACAGTTCAAGCCTCTTGGCACATTGCATTCTTCTCTCCATCAATGCAGGATCTTCATCTAACAATTCTGAAAGTGCCTTGCCCTGAGAAATATAAAGAACTGTCAGCACTTGTACCATCAAAAAAAACTGATAATTCGGGATTAACATTGAGATAGTACCTCTTTCTTCCCAATCTGAGTGTAGAAGTAGTTCAACAAAGATTGTTTGGCCTCCTTAACTTGACAATAAACCACTGCTTTGGGGAGTGTGTTCCTCAATGTATCAGACACCATATTTACATATGATGATACATTTGAACCTATCCGACGAAAGTGACCCTCTCCATACCGGTCTACGGCAGCAGCAGCTTCTGGCTTTCCCCCCTTGGGGGTTTCCATCTCCTGAGGTAGTTTTCTGAAGAAATCCACTGTCAAGTAAGAAGATTCCATGTCCACTAATCTGACTACCGTCTTTCTACCTTCATCCCGGAATTTTTCCAAGGCTTCATTAGAAGCTGCAGCTATTGTAGATTGCAAACTAGGAAACCGCTTCAATTCCTGCTCCACCAATATATTTAGAAATAATCAGAAAAGGGAGAAGAGGTTATTGTAGCTAAAAATAAAATACAACATAGCTGCCCGGCACCATTACCTGACATTCTCCAATAGATTTCCTCACTAGTTCCTTCAACACAAAGTGAACCTGATATGTAGTTTCACATAAACTTAGAGTTGATAGGAAGCATTAACTATTTGACCACCCTGATAAATTTTGAAAAATTACTTACAGCATCAACAGAGGCTTCAGCTGGGCCTCTAAAATAATTTAAGGCCCCTTCAATTAGACGTCTATAACCTTGCTCAGGTGCTATCAAGTGAGGCTGGTAACCATCTGCCTCTGAAACAACTTTCCTCACATTTTGTACAGAGAGATATCGGTCAAACGGGAGTTTTCTCAAAGCAGCAGGTAGTTGGTTGTCAAAAACTCCATAAATTCGATCACCACCAGGTCGACTGATTAACAAAAAGAGATAAATACATGTTATATATAGTCTAGGTGCCTTAAATCAGTACAAGCATTTACAGACAAGATAGACGAGTGTCACATGTCTACTGAAATGTGTTGCCAATTCCTTGAGTTTAATGGGTACATCCTTTTTTTTTTTACAAGTTCTCATGAGTGAAGTTTCTTCAAATTCTGTGTGTTTTATGGGTACTAGTCACATTTGGTGGTCTCTTTTCAGCCTATGCCAAATCCCTCCTTGTATTTCAAGTTCCATTGTGCTTTATGGTTTTCCACTATGGTTCTTTTGGATTTTTTGAAGTGCTTACGATAATGAAAGTTAGATTTGGAAAATTAAGGGAAAAAAGAAAACAATCCACTTACCCTCCATCTAGATGCTCCTTAAATATCTTATCAAAAGCACGGCAAAGTTCCAAAATAGTATACAGTTGAGCCTGAAATAGACCAGTTCAGTTACTAAGATAAAGGAAAATCTCTCGATCAACAGTAGCAACGATAGATATAGAAGTCGAAGCTTACGCCTGCATCAACAGCAATAGGCCTTCCAAGGTGGTCCAGTTCCGATTCAAGTTCATCTATGCTTTTATTGATAAGTGATGTGATACTTGGTATTCTTGCCTTAATAAATTGTTCCAAGTGCTGAAATGGAAACAATCTGAATATGAACTCTGCTCAACTTATTTAGGAACTCCTTACATGAAAAGAACTACTAGTATACCTTTGACAGCAGTTTTGCAAGGTACTCCGAACCCATTTTACTAGCCAGATGCCCATAATCCGGACTGGTATCAAAATATTCACGCTCCTTTCTTCTTGCATAAATCATGTCTACATTTTTATTGATGTCAGCTTGTGAGCGATTCACAATACCAACCCAGGGATGTTGCAAACGATAAGCTCTTCCTTCAAGAACCTTAAATTCAAGGAAAAATAATCAATTACTAGTACAACAAGCTGTGCTGCCAAATTATAGTATACAACAAGGACTCAGAGAGAGAGATTCGGATATGCTTATCCAATATTTATGAATCAATTAATGTAGATATTAACCAAAATAAGTTCACAGGTAATATAACAAATAATAAAACTCACATCTAGAGCATTAGTGCCTTTGTCCATCAAATCTAGCTTGGTCAACACTCCAAATGTCCGTTCACCTACATGGGTAGCAATGTGACACTTCATAAATGATGATGACAAACATTAAACATTCTCCCAAAATATGGACACTCTTTGACAAGTACTCAAGCTACTGGACTCAGAGTCCCCAAACTGTTAATATCACAAGATTATACCTGTAGGGTCCACTTCTCTTGCAAGTTTTATTGCGTCAGAGGTGGCGATATCCTGATTGGCAGGAGAAACAGCTAGAATGATGCAGTTTGGCTGCATGAGAGGAAAGAGATCAGATGAAGAGAAGACACAAACCGAGCACAACTCAAGTATGGGAAATAAACGCAATAACTAGCAAACAATGTGAAAGTAAAGGCAACCTATTTTTCACACTGATGAATATTAGTAGCAAGCCAACCATGCATGGAGATAAATGGAAAAACTACCAAATAATGTGAAAGTAAAGACTTGTCCTAGTTTAATTCAGGTGGATTTTCTTGAACTGACAGCAACAGAAAACCCAGCAAGGGAATATTGTGCTCATCAGCTCAGTCATCAATTCACTCGACCAATATAAGAATAGTTGTTCTTTGGCATTATGTTCCACACTAACTGAATATTGTTCGGAGATCCAGTAAAGGGAACGGCAGACTTTAGGTGATTGATATTCAGAACAATTTCTCTGACTGCAAGAGGTATATAAAAAAAGTTTGCAGTTACTCATTATTTAGTTTCTCACAACATGTAGCATTCTGTTATTTTCTTCAAATGCACTATTCAGACTGAATTACCAGATGTTAAGGAGGAATGTTTAGTATATTATCAAAACAAGAGTATTTGTCCCACATTATTTTGTGGGGTTTTATCTACAAGAACAAGGTAAACTTCCAAGTTAAATTTTGTGAGGGCTGTAGTCATTTTGTAAATGTATATATGAAATTTTGAAACTCCTAAATCCTAACTAGTTAAATCTCCAAGCATTTCCACTCATTTAAGGGACTAATACCTACATCACATATAGATGGAAAGTTATATGCACCATTTGTGGTTTAGTCTCTCTCTATGAGCAATATCTCAATATCAATAAATATCTCCACTCTTTTTACCACAGAAAGAAAAATGAGCATATCAGAAAGTTAAATTAGTATCTCATTACCTTCCCAACATATGTTCGCACCATGTTCTCAATGTCTTCGACTATAGTCTCAGACTGCCCCTCTGCAGTGATGAGTTGTTGCATTGAAAACAGGTTTGATAAGACTTAAAAATAATGCAAATAATGAAAGGACGTATAGAGCGTACCAACAGCCACTTTTGTTAGACCAGGTAAATCAATCAGTGTTAAGTTGACCACTGCCAAGAAAAAACACATGGTATGGAGTTAGCATGATGAAGAGAGAATGATATGCTCTTTAGAACAGTCACCACTAAAAGGAACAAGAGAAAAGACCATCCTTTCTCAGCAATAAATCAAAACGTTTATGATGAAATACAAAAACATCAAGCCCATCTTCGATGAAATTTAGAAAAGCAGACATGTATGTGATATAACTAACTACAGAAACTAAAACTATTAAAAAAAACCTACTGATGCAATGTAGAGTAAGATTACTTTTTGGGACCATAAATGAATTCTTAAGCACATATAAAGAATTCATGGACATCATACCCTTTGGAGAGTATATGCTCAGGTGGATCGGAACAGGAGAAATCTGTTTAGTTTTCCCTGTGATTCGATCAGTTTCATCTGCAATCTCCTTGCGGACCGTGCCTGTTAAAAAAAATAATAAAGAAAACACATTTTGTCGAATCAGAATCTACAATCTAGTACTGATAAGTAAAACTGTTGATAACATGTGCTTGAGGGCACACATACATGTCACTTCACAAGCACACACACATTTAGAGAGAGAGAGAGAGAGAAGAGTGAATGAAAAAACTAATACAACTAAAATTTAATAGTCCGTCTCCATAACCACCGATCTATTAAGTTACTGTATATGGCGACTCTTCTATGCACAAGTAATCATGCTTCTCATTTACCTCACTTAAAAGCAAATATGTTTCGTAGCTACTTTAATAGTCATTAATTGTCATGAAATAGTAAAGAGTTTAGATAAATTCTGAAAGGGCTAAAGTAATGCCCCAAAAGAAGAAGAAAGAATGGAGGTAAACTGAAATACCAAAATCTGTGAACCGTCTTCTCGGCATATGACCAAACTCTGCATATTCCTGCTGTCCGTCATCAGTCTTATGAAGCTGCAACACCAATGGTCTCCTTGTGACGATTCCTGAATGGATACCACAAACGATTTCACTCAGCCAATGTAATTCACATAATCTATATCATATTAAAAGCAGGAAACCCTTAACAAGTTAAACAATGGGGATCTTAGTAAGGACAATTGGTTGGCTATCTAAATTTTCACCTTGTTGCGGAGGGTTCAATTCCCCACCTTGTGATCCCTCCCCTATTTCTCCTTCCTAA